GGGGGGGCAGCGGGGGGGCTGCTGCACCGCCAGGCACTCGGAATGACCTGGGGCGGGGGAAAAAATGCAAACCCGCAGCCCCAGGCTGGATGTACACACCCCGCACAGGCTGTTGCCACACTTTCTGACCAGATGTCAGAAATACCCCATGAAATGAGATGCAGCGCATCCTACAGACCAGGAACACAGCGGCTCTCAGTGCCCGACGCTGGTTTTCATCCACCACTAACAATTGCACACTAACTGAGAGAGCTTGGTGCCAAGCCAGGCTCTTCATGCTTCTTGGTCAGGATTTCAGCACCTTGCGCTTCCACTGCGGTGGGTGCCCAGGGAGCACCCGGAACCGGCAGCACCTTGGGCTGAGGCACCACTGCCACTGGTTGGTGCTAAGCCAGCCCCCAGCGTTAAATGTGCCTCTGCTGAAACAGCCAGCGAGCACCAGAGTGGCTCTGCTGCGGGGGCAGGCATCGCTGCTCCCGGCTGCTTGGCAAGAGGTGGGTGCGGGAAGAGGAGGGTACAGGAAGAGGAGGGAAGGGACAAGCAAAGCCTGTCCAAAGCCGCCTGGGCTCTGTGCCCTGACGCTGCATGAAGGCATGACCCTGGGCAGGTCCACCTGGATTTGCCAAACCTGCACACAAACACTGAGATAGACTCCACACTCAAGCGAGCACCAGGAGAAGCTTTTCTTTCGTGCACTGATGGCAAGACGTGGTGCCTGACCTGCGGTGAGCGTGCTATCGGCAGGACACAGAAGTCTATTTTTAGCCTTACCAAGACAAGCAGCTTGGCTGAGACTTGCCCACTCAGAGGCGGTCAGCTTGTTGCCGCAGGAGTTTTACCCCATGACACTGCACCCTACTAATGCTAACAACAAGATACACTGTTTGTTTTATATAAAGTGTGGCTTAGGGCTCTTAAAAACCAGCTGTACTTGAGAGGAAGGTAGAAAGCAGCAACTTCCACTGCTGACCTTTTCCTGGACCAGAGGTATGCATTTAGAAGAGAAAAACGAGATGTGGGTGGAAAAGGCAATTAGCAACATTGCTTTACAGAAGGGTTTGTTTTCTTTTCCTTGAACAGCGTTTTGCAATGCCCCTGAAGAGTGCCATGGCCGGGAGGCAGCCACAGCTGTGCCAGCCCAGCTGTGAAGCTGCTTCCAGGGCTGCGTGCCCAGCCTGGCCCTATGCAGCACGCTGCGCTCCCCATGGTGAGTATAGCCCCAAATACCGTGTGTTCTGTATACAGCCGGGGCTGGATAACCAGCACATCCAGGCAAGGATGGCTTGGGATTAATAACAGCACTGAAGGAAGAGCAGAGAAAAAAACAGTTCCTTTATAACTGGATGTTTTCTCCAGTGCAGATGCTGCTCTCCAGCACGAGCATCCCACCTCCTTCCTGGCCAAGCCCATCTGGGCATCTCACCAGCACCCCACTGCTCAGGCGCCCACGCTCAGCCCTGCAGTTTCGTTCCCGTTCCCCCAGCCCGGGGGATGGGGTGGGCTCGCTCTCCCGAGCACTCAGATACATCCCCCATCCTCGGGAAGTGCCACAAGTGCCTCCCACCACTGCAGTACCTTGTTGCTGAGGGCACGTGAGAACAGTCAATGCGGTTTTGCTCTCTCTACCCCCAAAGCCAAGGGTCTGCACTGTGCCCATGGCACCCCCATCCCACCCCTCACAGGGTGGCTGCCAGGGAGGGACCCCACTCCTGTTGCCCCAAGGGGGACTGAACATGCAGTGCTGTGCCACGTGCTGTTTGCCCTCAGAAGAGCACAACTTGTCTTTTCCCATCCCATAATTGTCACTCTTCTCTTGCCATTATTTAATTGAATGTTTTCCTGTTGGTACCAGGTAATTGCCAATATATGCCACAACAAGCTTGCTAAATTCCTGTGATGGGTAGAAGGCTCCAAAGTGGCTATTTTTAGGTACCAAGAATGTATATGTGATGAATGCTGTTCGGCTGTACCCCTGGTGCACTTTCAGGGTGCTTAGGAGTAATTGCACTTTTATTTCCAGTGCATTCCTGAAATACTGTGATTCATTTCCTCCTGTGGTTTATTAGCACAGGGATAATGCACCTTCTAACGTCTTTACCAACTCCATGAAAAACAGCACACTGACTTCTTACCTGCTTTCAGTTTGTTCCTTGAGTCTATATAAACAAGAGAGACTTTTCCACCTCCCCCCAGCCCTGGGGGCTGCAGGCAGCTGGCACCCAGTGCAGGGCACCCTGCTACAAACACTGCAGTGCCCGGGTCTCCTCTGGCACACGGCACAGCTCCTTCACCAGACAGAGTTTTTGCAGAAGCACCACAAAGCACTATCAGGTACCGTTGCTCTCACCAGCCATCCCCCCCCCCAGCAAGGCTTCCCTGCATCACCAGCCAGCAATGTGCAATGAGAAATACCAGTTAGAGCAGCTGCACGTGAGCTGCCCTGGGGCCTTTCAGCCGTGCCTTTCCAACACCCGACAACTCTGCACAGCAATAAACTGGAAAGCATTTTGAGGGGGGTGCACCCCCATGGAAGGGCCCCACCACCTTGGGAAGGTCAGCTACAGCAGGTCCATTTCCCTCTTAACTCCTTAAAAGCACCATCAAGGGTCCATTACCATCCTGCACTTTAATCACTCACTCTCAGAGCCGCGACAGAGGCATAAACCCAAACGGAATCCCACGGCACTGCAGCCTCACCGCTGCTCTGCACCATTAGCCAGAAACCAGGTGAATTGGGCTTGACCTTGGCCAGGCTGACCCTGAGCCAGCTCTGTGCAAGCACCAGGGCAAAGTCTCCCTCAGTGCTGGTGTCCTCCTGAAACTGTAAATGAGCGGCCTCCTGGAGGATCTCCCCCCAGGGACCCCAAGCCATGCCCACCCCAGCCACCAGCAGCAACCAGCTGCTACCTGCACACCCAGAAGCCCCCAGCTCCCTCCTGCAGCCACAGCTCCCTCCAGCCCTTTACCCCCACCCGTCCTCCCGGGGCCGCTCAGCACCACTGCAGGCACCTGTGCAATTCTCCAAACTTGCTTTCCCTGCGGCTCGGAGGCCACAGGAGCTGATGCTGTGACAGGTCGCTGCATCCCACAGCACAGTGCGGTGGCACGGTGGGTGTGCAGGCTGCCCAAGCTGCTCTCCCCAGCCCCATGTCTTGCTGCGTCTCCCTGGGCACTGCCAGAGGGCAGAGCCGTGCCCGACCCAGCGCCTCTCCCCAGTGCCAAGGCTGCGCTGGCAGCCAGCGTGAGGCACCGAGGCATCGTGTGATGCCACTGCTGGGACCACAGCAAGTGGCGTGATCAGCTCTGTTTGGGCAGGAAATAGGCTTTTTTTATTACAGCTAGTATCTGGATGCAAAAAGACCCTGAGAATTATTCCGCTTCCTTCTTCCTGAAGCCATTCCCTGTTCTCATCACAAATCACACAAAGGCAATTAGAACTCCTTTTCAGGTTTCTGCTCCTCCTTCCCCAAAGGCTGAGAATCCCTTCCTCATTTCAGAAAGCATCTCAGCTGCAGACACACGTGGATCCCTTTGAACAAAATTCTTTTATTTGGTTTTCTCAACTGTTGGAGCTGTCGCGGCTCCTGCAGCCGGTACCATCCCAGCCCCGGCTGGCGAGGTGCCGCGGGCTTCCCGGGCCACAGGCAGCCGGCGCCGCTTTGGCAGGAGCTCCTTCTCGTGGCCCTCCTCAGCACCTGAGCGGTTTTATTTTCTCTCAGCTCT